TTTATTTAATTACAAGTATTTAGATCCAATATGGATCCACTATCTTTGAGGTTTTAGCCTCAAAGTGAGTACATCAAAATTGTAGAAAATAAGAAAGAAATTTTTTTCCTCCCTCTCCACGTCTTCAATGAGTCTTTTTATAGCTGGATTGAAAGATTCCCTTTCTTCTCCTCCGTCCATTTGTCTATCATCCGCAGTTTTTCTTTTGCAAAAGCAAAAGTATTGATAAACGGATAGGACAAATTGTGTCAGCATCTTCTTTTTCAAAAGCTGATTCCTTTACTTTTATTTTGACTAGTCTGCGTGGCTTTCTGATGTACTCCCACTAGACTCTGTCTATCCAGTTGATGGATTCTTTTCTTCTTTTGCGACTTTACACCATTGGCAAAAATGATCTTTTCCAAGACTCTGTCTTAAAGCTTTACATAATTCTCTTTTGTAATTTGAAGGAGTATTTGGTAAATTATAGAAATTATTTTCAAAATTATACAAAGTCTTTATTCCATCCATCTTGATTAATGAACCTGTCTTGCTGGTTACCAAGATAAAATCTGATGAAAAATTTATCTTGATTTTTGACTCATTGTTAAAAGCTCTTAATCCTGTAAGAATCCTATGAAAAGATAAGCTTCTTCATTCGTTTAACTTTTGTTCATTCACACATTCAATCTGTCCTTCAAGTGGGTTGTTAAGCGTAATTTGTGGAACGGTCTTTATCTGGATATGGTGATATCCTTTTATCAATAATCCATCATTATTCCAAAATGGAATTGTACTGTTGAATTTTAGGATCATTTGCAATTCCTGGTCCCTAATAACAAATTTCTTAAAATCCATCATGGCTTTTAACAAATTGTTATCAATTAGTTTGATCTCTTCCATCTCTTTGCTGAGAATTATCATTTTGATTAATCCACAGTGAAAAGCAACCTGTACCATCATTGGGTCGGATCCTTCACAAAAGATGAACTGTCCAAATTTCTTTTCCATTGTTCCGAAATATGTTTTTTTTTCTGGAGCAGATGCTCCCACTGTTCTGGCTTTTTCTTCGTATTGGAGAAAATCACGTAATGAAATACCACTAAAAAATGGCCTTTCTTTTTGTTTTTGAATTTTTCCAATTTTCTTGAATTGTCGGGAATAATCTCATTCTCAGAATTAGTTTGGACTGCATCTTTAAAAGACATCATTTTGATCCTATGATTTTCAGTTGGAGGTGGTCTAAAAGATTAGGTTGGCAATCTGGGTCTTGCTCTTGGATTTTGGTCTTGACAATATCTAGGTCTGAGATTAACATTGTCAAAATCAAACAGTTGTTTATAAGGAACTGGGCTAATTCCTTTTGATTCATGAAATTCAGCAAAGGCCTTTTGGGCTTCTGTATAGGTTTTGAAACTTTTATGTTCGAATGGTTTATTTTTCACAAGTGGCTCAACTTGTGTCCAATTTGTATAGAATCCTTTAGCTGGTCCTTCAAAGATCACATAGAACTTTGTACCTGCAATTGAAGTATTAATACCAACAAGTGGCGAGTCTTTGAGTCCACAAATATTTTCTTGGACTTTCAATTCTGTTTTTGGCTTTGAATACCCTCATGTTCTTGCGAACATTGTTCATACCAACTTTTTGGGCTCTGAATACCCTTTTGTTTTTGCGAACACTGTGCTTGATTATGCACGTCCTTATTGTTTTCAATAGTTTTGCTATTGTCAACATTTGTTTTTGGGCTTTGAATACCCTTTTGTTCTTGCGAACATTGAGCTTGAACATGCTCTTTTTCAGTATTTTTATCACTATCAAACTTGCTGATTTTGATACCTTCCAGAAGTTGAAGCTATTTTTTGAAGTCTAATCAACTTCTTTTTCAGCATTTGGATTTCTTGTTGTCTGATTGAGATTTCCATTTCTTTCGTTTCAATTTGTAATTCCAGATCTTCAATTTGATCTTTGATGTCAGCCATTTTTACCTGCAAGAGAAAATTCTCTAGTTAATGAATCAGCTAGGGAATTATTCTTACCTTTAATTTCAATTTTGAAATCATAATGGCTAAACCACATTTGCCATCTGATTAACCTTCCTTGCTTGTAATTCGGGTGTACCTGATTTTTAAAAAAATGAATTACAAGTACTTGAATCAGTTCTAATAAGAAATTTATCAAAAATGATATAAAGTCTAAATTTTGTAATAGCCTTTTTCATAGCTAAAATTTCTTTTTCATTTATATGATAATTCTTTTCTACTCCTTGGAAAGTTCCTGAAGCATAAGAACATAATTTTTCGATTTGATCTTGTTGATCAAATGCTTTTAAAACTAGTCCCCAAAATTCATAAGATGCATCTGTTTCAACTATCATTTTATCTCCTGATTTTGGATGATATAATGATGGTAAATTTTTTATCTTATGTTTAATTTTCTGAACATAAATACTATCTTCTTTAATCCAGATCCATTTAAAATCTTTCTTAAGTTTTCTTTGAAGAGGTGACCTCACTTTTGGTAATTCTTTAATAAAGGATTCAACATAAGTGAGACATCCAAGAAATCTCATTAATTGCTTTTGATCTTGAATTTCATTTGGAAATTCTTGGATATGAGTTGAGATATGTGGTTTTAGGTTTTTATAGCCATACGCTATATCTAATCCTAAAAATCCAATTTTTTCTTTTAATAATTGTGCTTTCTTTTTAGATAACACAATTCCTTCTTCTTTTAATTTTTTCAAAACAGATATCACA